AGACTGACAAACACTTGTTACCTGAAGGATCCTTGAAATATCTCCTTGAAAGGAGACCAATTCCTTTTAGGTGAACTGTAGCACTGGCGAACTTTACTGTACTTGCACCAATCTGCTCTCTAAGCAAACACAGGGTCAGAGAGGTATGCAACTAGGGATTTTGTACATATTACAATCTTCCTGCAAGATGTAAAATACCTGTCCTTGCTGTTGTACAAGGTTGCCCACGTCATACCTGAAATGGGTCTGCACAGTGTGTGCAGTGAACACTGTTTGAGGAGAGGTAAAATGCCCCAGGTGTGCTCCAGAGAATGGAAAAGATCAGTGCTTGGCCTTCAGAGATGCCCTACAAGTATCTCTGTATGTGTAGTCAAAAGTCCTAATGCCCCAGCATGAGAGGGATCCTCCCACAATTTCCTTTTGCTCAAATGCCATCTCTTTGGTCACCTTGTCAGGCTTGTGTCAGGTCCTGCCTTGGAAGTGGCCTCTCCTGGAATGGTGAAAACGATTAGGACTGTAGGATTGAGGTGGATGTTTTGATGGTGACAATACAGAAAACGCTCCTGAGAGGGGGAAGGCAGGCAGTTGTAATCTACTTGACTAATTCATGGGAATGCACAAAGGGCTGACATTCAAAAAGTATGAAGCACCTTTTTGAAACTGTTCCCTGGTGTTCTGGTGGTATGCACTGTGACTTGGCAGTAGCCTAGCCTCCCGTATTTTTGTTATTAAAAAAAATTACCATTAGCTTTAATACCTATCATGGCAGTAAACACATGACACTATCCCTGTGTGTCCAGTCATGTCACAATATTCTCTTCTTAGCACAAGCAAAGACAGCTTCCTAGCAAGAACACAGCAAAGTGTAAAAGCTGCCAATTTATTGCTATGACTAATTTGCTCAAAAGGAGAATTAGTAGTAAGGCAATTTGATTTGGAACCTAAAACTGAAGAAACTTTTCAAGTGAGCTGTAACTATAAACTAGTGTAGCACTTTGCATTTTAGTCTCATGAATACTGAAGTATGAAATTATCTGACAGTCAAACCATTGAAGAAGCATAAACAAGCCTTCCAACAAGAAACTCTCATAGGAAAAAGGCAAACTTCAGAACTTCCTGTTAAGAAATATCTTTTATTTGTCAACTTGGTTTTCATAATAATGACACATCCCAGCTAACAACTGTAGTAATATTCTCAAATAAAGACATTCATTGTATTGTATGTAGGAAATGCATTTTTTCCTCTTTCTTAACATCATCTCACTACATTGTGATGGGGAAGGATGATCTGGATATCTCACATTTAACGGAAAAAAAATGAAATATTCCCAGGTAATGCAGAAATCAGATACTATCTCTATCATTTTTTCTACAGAACACTGAAATTCCCACTTTTAAGTCTTCCATAACATTACAAATGAGACTTCTTTTAACACACAATAAAAAAGATGGAGTTGTGGAAGCATGGAATCAATATTCTTTGACTTCTTTACCTGAAAGCCTCGAAAAATCACACCTTGTGACAACTGGTAATTATCATTCAAATGAAAATACGATTTTTTTTTCAATATGTTTCTTAATATAATTAGTCTGTTTCAGTTATGGCTTCATTCTTTCATTTCTGATACAATGAAAACATTCATGTAGCACACAAAGACACACAAGAGAACAAATAAAAGTGTTACCAAGTGGTTGTAACTCCTACCCAAGACTGAGTAAGAGTTCTGGTCCTTTAACTTTTAAAAAATTCTAGGTATTCATCCTTTTCACTGATGTATATATGACTACTAAAAAGTATACTGACATAGTAGCTGAAAAGCAAAAACCTTTTGTTTAGAGAAAATTACTGAAGAGATTAACATTGCAAAATAAATTTTATTCCTTCTACTGCAGGAAGGATCACCAGCTGTATCTTAGTCCTTTGTTATAGTACAGTTTTAACCTGAAAATACAATGCTTATGAGGACAAATTATCAATTCAATTAGTATGTAAAATTAATTATTCTTTGATTAGTCTACAAATAATCTACTTTTTTTTCTGTAATTTCTTCAAGTGATACTTCTCTCCAGTTTATATATCACAAGATACAACGGAATAGAATTACAATATAAAAAAAAAAATGTGCATTTTTTAAATTTTACAGATCTGTAAGGAAGATGCTGAATGTTGACTAGAAAACTAACCTGGCAGCCAGCAGGTTTTCAATATGCAAGCTGAAGCCTTGGTCTCCTCAATCTCAGTTGTGACTACATCTGAGCAAAGGTTTTGTTACATGATAGATTGAAAAAAATAATAAAAATTCTATATTTGACAAAAGGAACCATTCTCTTCTCAAACCTATTTCTGTAAGATGCGTGGTACCTGCTTACTTGCATGGAAAATAAAAGAATTAAAGCCACACCTTAGGATCTAGAATCTTAGGGTAATGCAAATGGTTTATTTATGCCCTAAGACATACACCTTACAAACTTGGTCAGTGTTCAGGGGTACAAACGTAACACACTAACAATTAGGTACTACAGTAGTAGGCCAATGCTTTGGTATAACAATCCATCACAAGTTAATTATCAAAGGTCCAACTCCAGAAGGAAAACAGGGAAGCCAAGTGCAACAGGGCACAGTGAGAAGAAAACAGCTGTACAATTGAGGTGCAAAACCTCTGGAAGCAGGTCTTCTACTGATACTGTATAAGAGGGATGAAAAACAGCATAGATTTTTTCTAGGATTTCAACTGCATGAAGCTGCAAGAGACAAAACAAACTGCAGGAAATTCATACAGCTTAGGTAAATCAAACAGCAGGACAAAGAGAGGTGGAATGAAAAAGGAAGATAGCACTCCTTAAATAATCATGAAAAAGAAACATTTATAAAAAGTAAAGAAGTCAACTCCTACATAAGAACATGACACCTAACAGAATCCAATATAGGAAATGCATGCTCTTTTGACACAATACTGCTCTGTGACTTTAGAATGATACAATACTGCATTGTGACTTCAGAAGGAATGAAGAGTCCACAGGAAACAAAGATCTGCTATGATTGTAAAATACAAACACTGGATGCGTACAAATCTGAATTAATTAAAAACAGGTAAAGAGAGAGGTAGCAGGAA